GGTGCCCATCAGTTCCCCGATCATCAAGGACCATGGGTTGGAGGAAGGAGGGCGACCAAGCCGTCAAGGGTTAGGGTCCGGTAAAGAGCCCTGCTCTCCAGGCAGCAGGCTCTGACCTGCAGATGGGAGGGGTGCATCAGGGCCTCCATGTGGATCAGGCCTTATTCTGAGCCCTCAACTCTCTTCAATCCCGACTTTTTCGCCCCATCTCCTCGCTTCAGGCATTCGGTCTGGTTGGTTCCAGACATGCGACTCATCAATGCCACTACCATGAAACTGGAAGGTCCGTTCACGGATCACGAAGCGCCCGCTTACGCTATTCTATCGCATACATGGGGCGATGAGGAAATTTCTCTCCAGGAGTTCACCCATTGTGGCAGACACGACGAACAAAAAGGCCTCAAGAAAATCCGCGAGGCGTGCGCCCAGGCGTTGAGAGACGGCCTCCTTTACGTCTGGATTGATACCGTCTGCATCGACAAGACCAGTAGCGCTGAGCTATCAGAGGCCATCAACTCAATGTACAACTGGTATGCCGGCGCATATGTCTGCTACGTCTACCTCGAAGACTTCCAGTCGCATTCGGGAGACGACCTACAAGGGTGTCGCTGGTTTACCCGCGGGTGGACACTTCAAGAGCTCCTCGCCCCTAGGTCTATGACCTTCTTCAATTCGACATGGGAGTCTATCGGCACCAAACGCGATCTTGTCGACCAGATTGGCACAGTAACCAAAATAAGTGTCGGTTGCATCTCTGGAGAGTGCGGCATCAGGAGCTACAGCATCGCGGATCGGATGTCATGGGCTTCTCGAAGAAGCACGACAAGGCCGGAGGATATCGCCTACTGCCTTCTCGGCATCTTTGATGTCAACATGCCCTTGCTGTACGGGGAGGGCCAACAGCGGGCATTCTATCGACTCCAGCAAGAAATTCTGCGCACGTCTAGTGACCAAACGATATTCGTGTGGTCAAATCGTCTACTCAGCTCGGATAGCTCCATAGACAACGCACTCGCATCTTCACCGTCATGTTTCAACTCGCACGCAAGCTACGAGGTTGCCAGATCTTTGAACGACTTCTACGGGTACTCGATATCAGGCCAAGGCGTCACCCTGCGGACGAGATCGAACCGCCCGCAAACTAAAATCCTCCTGAAATGTCGCCGATCTGGGACATATGGGCTTTGCGCCCTTTCCGTGACGCGCCTTCGCACAGGGCAGAACGACTTTGTGAGGCAGTTTGCCGTGGCTACTGACATCCCGCCCGAGGGCCTTCGCGAGTTTTCAGAGGACATCACCCTCACTCTGCGGACCGACTTTATGAGTACGTACAGATTCGAAGACGAGAACCACCTTCACTACTTAATCATCGTGCGCGAGCCGAGCCAAGAGTCCGGATATTTCCTCGCTGACAAGGGTGGCTTTTTGTCCGAGGACTCTCCCAGAACGATCGCGATAAGCCCCATTCCAAACCCGACGCCGGAGGGCGCTGTCCTCTCCTTTTACGGCAGGGATCCAGCCATGACTCCGTTCTTCGTCGCCCTCATCTGTAAGAGGAGCACTGACTATGAAAGCGGGCACCTCTGGATGGAAGATGATTTCTTTGCCGTCTACGACAATCCCTTAAGACTGAGCGCGAAGACCTTTTACCGAGAGCTGGTCAGCTGTGTTCGTGACCGCCAGATTCCGAACCCCAACCGGTATCGTGCCGCACTGCGAGGAGTACTACATGGGCTGGACATCTGGACTCTTGGGGGTGGCGAGCTCGTTCATGTTGGCGTCACAAGGAATGTCGACTCGATACTAGGCCATATTGGATGCGCCCGGATCCTCGCCGGAGCGTCATGGGATTCTCATATCAAGGACATGGTCGATTGGGGACCGCTGACGCCGTTGGTGCCATGTCCAGATCCATCGGCACCAGAATTGGGGCATTCATGACAGACCTACATGTCCTGGCGGAGCTGCGAAAACGCATTGTTTCCAGCGATCGAGGCGGTCGTTGACAGGGAGGGCGCATCGCTTGCGATGGAGGCAGTGTCACTCGCACTCGCGTTGAATAGGGTAGGCGGCATGGGGGTAGTGGTACATTACCAATAGCTGACCGGCGGCGCAGGCCCAGAAATCAGAATTTTCTTGGGAGACGGGGGCATTCTGCATCGGTGGCCCCTGCCAGGCTGTCTACAATCAGTGTCCGATTGGCTGAAACATGGCCAAAATCTTATAAGAATTAACAGGGGTCGACAAATCCGCAAAGCAAATGGTGTGTCGGATTTGCGTTACGAAGGTACTTTTTTGGGCGAATTTTGCGTTGCACATTTTCCAGATGTGACCGCTTTGGATTTGCGAGATTTGATTTATAGCAAGCACTGGATTTACCCACTCTTGTGAATGAGGAAGACGGGAATGAAGACCTGGGGATGGTAACCTAATGGGGGATGTAAACTGGGTTTTATGCGACTTTGGGGGGAAGGGAAGAGGAGTGAAAAGGAGTTAGGTTAGGGGGGTCCCAGTTTTGGGCCACCTGTGTCCCAAAAACTGGGACTTCGCGAAAAGTTGCCATTCGAATCGCAGAGTACTACCTACTCATCTAAACCATGTTTGGCGATTTCTCTGATCATTTCCTGAGTAACCAACGCCTGAGTAGCACATGAGCAAGGTGGTACGGGGTGCGGGTGACTGGGGCTTGGCGAGGGCAACTTTGGGTAAATTAACAAGGTATGCCAATTGTAAATGTGAGTTTGTCAAGTGCAGTGAAATCCGCAGCACCCCCTGTAAAGTTTTGTCTCGCCGGTCCCTCACTTGTCCATGAGGCGCAAGCCAGACCCATTCTCATCATCTGGCGACAGAAAAACCCCTTGTGGTGTAGTTGGCTATCACGTTCGGCTGTAAATGTCTCATTCATATACCGAAAGGTCACCGGCTCGATTCCGGTCGAGGGGATGTCTTTTTGCTGGTTTCCACTTTTGCCTCCACCGTCATCTGTGATGGGTCTCCGGCGTGGAGCCCGGGGGGCCACGACGGCAGAACTGGCGCATGGAACGGGAGAGGGATGAGTCGCAGTTAATATAAGGGCCGCTTGAGAATCTGATAGATGTAGACAACAAGAATACAATAACGCCCCCCTCATCCAAACCAACCGGATACACACACTTAAGCCATCAGCGCAATATGCTTCAACTCACTGCACACAGTTAGCACCCGTCCAGTCAATCAGGAGTAAAGCAATTCACATACCTCTGCACCTGCTCCCCAACCTTCATCGGCTCATAAACCACCTCATCCCCCTCGTCCCGCCCCAAATTGAACTGCTCCGCCCTCAACTCCCTCGCCTTCTGCACACAACTCTCGATCGGTGCCAAATCATAATCTGACGACAAGTGCCAGAAGAACGTGCTCGAGATTCTCACCAGCGGCCGATCCGGGAACTCTTGCTTCCGCTTTTCAATAACGCCGATCGTCGCCTCGTTGACCACCACCTCGTGGAAACCCGCCTTGATCAGGCCGCCCGTGATGTGCTCGAGCTGTTTGCCCGCCTGTACAAGGAGGTGGTTGCCGGGAGGGATCTTCACGGGGATGCGACGGCCGGTGTTGCGTGCCCAAATGTGCAGACCGGGGTAACGCGAGCGGCCGTGGATGGTAAGGAAGTTGAGGTCGGTGTGGAAGCCGGCGAGGATGGTGTCCTTGGCGCCGTGCTTGGTGAGATCTGAGGCTGTGGGCGCGAGAAGGTGAGGACTGAAGGGGGGTTAGAAATTTAACATCACGCCCAGGGAGAAGAGGGAGCAAACCCGTAGCGTCCAGCGGAGCGAAAGGTCTCTTCGGGGAGCTGCAACCCCACGGCAAGCATCTCAGTGAGGCCTTCGACACTACTGATGGTCAGAACCCACTGCCCTCACGACCCACCCCGAACAAACTCACGCATTCTTCATCGACGACCCCCACTGATTCATCGTGCTCTCCCACCTCGTCTTGATATGCTCTGCATCCGGCACAATATTCGCCGCATTCAACCCCGGAAACTTGGTCTCATACGGCGGATTCTCCACCATCTTCCAGAAAAAGCGACATTTCGGATCCGGATCATGCGCTGTGATGTCCAACGGTCGCTGGTCCGGCGCCAACCGCTCAATCACCTTCAAGCACGGCTCGTCCACCGCGCACTTGGGCTTCTCCGTGTTCTCGAGCGTCACGCCAATCTGGTAGCTTAGCTCGGGGCGCTCATCGCGCTTGAGGTCCTCCTCGGGCTGGGCGAAGTAGTCCTCGAGGAGGTCGAGGAAGGAGGTGTTGTCGCTCTCAGACACGCGCGAGTCGTGCAGGACGAGCGCGCCGTACGTGATGAGCGCCTTGGCGGCCTTTTGGCATTCGGCTTTAACTTCGAGGGAGTCGTGTGGTTTGGTGAGGAAGAGGTCGAGGTCGATGATGGGCAGGTCCATCGGGAGGTCCTGCGGGATTGCGGTCGCCATGGCGTCTGTTTGACCGTTTGCGCTGTGGTGGTGGGGTTGCGCGGGGTTGTGGAGGGACAGGGAGTTGGAGCTGCACACAAGGTGAAAGGCAAATGGAATGAAAGGCGGCGACGTCAAAGGTTAAAAAACAAAATAAAGCTCAGGCCTGCTGTCGGAGGCAAAAGTTGCGTCGTGATAAGGCGCCAAATGAGGAAGGTGAAGCTTGGTCGTCGGCAGACTCCGATCCATAGTCTCGGCCAAGCTGAGGTGAAGCGACGGCGTTTGGCCTGGAGTGGCATCTCCTCGTGGCCAACGCTCTCACATGGGCGGGTCACTGCTGCGGGTCCCGTAACATCCCGAGATGCGATTGGGTTCGCTAGGCCCCGGTGACACCACCAGGCACCAGTGGCAAGAGGAGTGTCAAACAAAATGGCTGCCCGCGAGATGATCAAGACCGACAATTGGAGGCAGCATGAAGTTGATCGGCCAGCGAGGGCCAGAGAGACGATTGCAGAGTGAAGAGGCCTTGAAAAGAGAGGCAAAAAAATCCAAAAACTTCTCTCCCGCCGGGAATTGAACCCGGGTCTCGAGCGAATCGTCTATTAGATGACAAGCTCACATACTGACCACTATACTACGGAAGATTTGCAGGTGTGGGCACCTGCCGTAGCGCTGGTTGGATGACAGTGCGGTCGCTATCCTGACCTATGAATACTTGGCAATGCTTTCTCAATCAAGTATTGGCCTCCTGTCCCCCCAACTCGAACCCTGACAAGAAGTACCAAGCAATTACATCGTAGAAACTATTAGTACAATGCTATTAATTACACCACCGCCGAGCCCTCACAATCCCTTAGCGCCATGAATGCCATCCTCGTCCTTCCGGTACTCCACGGTAACCCTCACCTCCCTGCTCTGCATTATCTGCCCGTACGAATCTCTAACAGGGCTCTTGTCACTGGAGTTGCTACTCTTTGTCACATCCTCTGTATAGGGGCTCATCCTTGCCGAGATAGCAAATGTGTTTTGATCCCCGTACCTGGACACAACTCCTGATCGCTGAGTCATCGTTGCGGTCTTGCTTCCGCCAGAGTTGTTGTAGTACTTGCGGCTCATCGTGTTCAGATCGCGGAAGAGGGTGCGTAGGACGGGAATCGAGGCAGCCATAATGGTGACGCCACTTTCGGCAGCGCCCCAGATGACAAGGGGTGCGGACACATCTGCAAGGTCAGGATGGGCGTGGGCTGGCAGAGGGACAGGGGCAAGGGCTTACAGGTAAAGTCTGCACTGGCGAGAAGGGGAATTGACAGCGTTTTCATGACAGCCGTAGCACCGCCACTGTGACATATTAGATCAGAAACTCCAACCCAAAGAGAAGGATACTTACAAGATGCCCATGCTCATGGCCAGTGCGACACCGAACTTCTCCTTTCGCTTCATCTGCAAGTTCCAAATCACTTTCCAGGGCAGAAGCGCAAGCGTGAATTCCATGGCGGCGGAGTAGCCTGCATCGTGTCAACTTGGACAACTCAATCACTTTTCGAGCATTCTTACCAGCAGCAAACATCCCATAGTTAGGGTACACCAGCGGGTCCCAGCAAGTCCCGTAGGCGTATGGATTCCAGGTCTTCTGCACGGGCGTGCATCGAATCCACATGAACAGAGCATTGAGACCCATGAAGACGTTGATCGTGACGATGATGAACCACAGGAAGATGCGCATCTTGCCCTGCATCAGACGAAGAAGCGTAAGGGCGAACGAAGTCTTGCTCCAGGTGGCAGCAAGAATGGAAAAAGTGCCTGTGAGGTTCCCAATGAGGCCGAGAGTCCCGAAGTTCTGCGGAGGCACCATGTAGACATGCTGCCCAGATCCCAGAGAGACGCTCGTTGTTACGAGGCCAATGGATGCCGCAAGCATGATCTGTGACAGTTAGCCCCCAGCAACTGCAACCACGCCTCGTGAAAACATACCCAAGATAATGCGAGGACATAGTCATCCCACCAAAGCCGTCGCTTTGCCCAGATCTTGCAGGCTAGGCGGACAGCGAGGAACAAGCCCGACAAGCCGACAAGCGTCCAAGTGGTGATGAGGATTCGCGGTCCTCTGTTCTCCTCGTTCATGTCCATGGCGACTGATGTCAAGAACTGGCGAACAAAGGCTGCTGAGAACAGCACCGGCAGTAGCAAGAAGCGAAAGACGGTCCAGCCAGTCAAGCGACCCAATCGCTCCGACGGGAAACACCTCCACCGCAGTGCCGCAGGACCAAGTCTTATACAGAAAAAGTCCCTGCATTCGACAAACAGAAAACATCAACACCACACGCCCGCATGGCCCTCGCATCTCCCACCCTCGCACCGCATCGTCCAGCCAGCCAGCCAACCCACTGCATCCGTCCGCACAGTCCTCACCTCACCGCAGAAGACCCTCTTCGCCACCTCGTTTTCGTCGTTGACAGACTGCACCCGGGCCAGACCAGCATGCCCTCGTGCGGGGTGAGCACCACGTCCCGTCTCGAACGTTGCACTGGCGGCCGGTGCTCAACCACTCACCACCCACACGCGCCTGTGCCCGCGCGGGGAGCGGACGTGGCACGGACGGCCGTGCAGCGCAAAGGGAGCACCAACTGACAGGTAAATCGGCCGAGTTCGTGCTAGCGGCTGCTCAGGCCCGCGATCACAGATGAAAAACTGGCAATATTGATCGCGGGCGGAGGGAGAGGCCATTGCCAATCTCTGCTGCTTGAATCTGGTGAGGGTGGTGGGCATCTTCGACACCTGCTGCGCGATCGCGAGATGTGATGAGCGGCGCAGGGGCCCGGGGTCGATGCAGGCGAGTCCAGATGGGGGCAGCCAGTTGGGGAACTTCCCCAGCTCCCGGATCGCCAAGATGGCTGCCACGCGGTGGGATACCGATGGGGTGGGCTGCCCTGGTTCGAAATAGGAAGCTGGATGGGGAAAAGGGGCTCTTCTCAGCTGGTTGAGGTCATGGCAACAAAGGAGATAAACGACCGGTATGGATGGTTGCTCATCTCTTTCGTTGTTTGGAGTTGAGTGCAATCGCTGCGGGAGGGTCTCTTTCAGGGAGAGGAAACTCAGGCGTGCACATTGTGCGGCGCGGGGATGCCAAGTCGGCAGGTGGAGGTAGATGGGAGTTGGGGATTTGTGCCTGGCAGCGTTGACGTCGTCAATCTCAGCGGGGGGTACCGATTGGCGCGTGCGAAATAAACGGAGGCATAGTTCCAAGGCGTCGCAACATAGGGCTGCTGGTGATACACGTAGATTGAGGGCGCATTGAGATAGCGGAGATTGGCGACCAGGGGAGAGAATTGCCTGCGACCCCAGAACCGGTTTTCTGGAGCCGGAGTTTGGCACGGCTGGATCGTGAAATCAAGGTCAGCCATGGCTATTTGCGTTGCGCCCGAATATAAGGAATACAACGCGCCGGCCCCAGATTTCCTCGTGCCTTCGACTTGAAGCTCGATCCTTTCCCCCAGGGAAGATGGGCCGCCGAAGAAGCAGTTTGAAATGCGGGATTGGAAGTTTTGTCGAGTGGTGATTGTTTGGTGTTTGGTCGCGGTTGCTCTTGCCGAAGAATGCGCTAGCAATCCCTGCCTCCGCGGTAGGTTCCGACGCGCTTTAGCGCCTGTTCAGTTGACTTTGCCAACTGGCAGCTGACATCACCAGCCGTCGCATCAACAACGTCGCAGAGAAACGCCACAGCAGACTGCATCTCCTTCTTTGAGACCACCATCAAGGCTGCGACAAAGTAAGTTGACTGAGATTCATGCATTCGATTCGCCAGCTCTGACGCAGCTATAGAACTGTCACAACAACGGTGACCCTCAATTCCACGGCTCCCAAGCCCACCAAGAATCCCACGACGCCGACTGGGAAAACCAAGATCGGCACCAATGGGGTCAAATCTGCATCGACACACAAGGAAGAAGAATCACAGTATGAAGCTTTCGACAAGAACCAGTATGGACGGGCCCTGGAGGAATCAAGACGGATGCCGGCATACGCTGCCCCATGCCCCTCAATCGGCGACTACTCCTCGGCCTGTTCATGCCTCGGGATTTCATTGCCCTCGACCACAGTCCCGAGATCCACGTTAACAGTGACTTCGACAGTTACGGCATACAATGGAACGGGTGCATCTTTTTTCCGCAATAGTACGATGGCTTTCGGAAACAGCACCGCCCCCTTTCGAAACACCACAGCAGCTTCAAAGTCAACAAGCAGCTTGTTGCTAAGCGACACCAGGACAGGCAAATTGTCTAGTCCGCCTATGTCCAAGCAATCTCTTGCTGCAGCTCAGCAGGGTGGCCCTGCGATACCGGCGGGAGGAAAAACAACGGTTCACGTCATCAAGGCAACGACTGTGGTTGCATCGAACACGCTGTGGGGAAACAACTCACCCTCGGCAGCCTTCCGAAACGACAGCTCCTCGAGGTACTGGAACTCCACGGCTTTCAGTACTGCCAATATCACATCGACACTCAACACGTCGATCAGCAGCAACACCACTCACTGGCCGTGGCAGCGGGACACCTCTTCCCCCGCCTTCTCCTTCGGCAACAGCACCCGACCAATCTGGCTCAACACCTCCCTACCAACCTTCACAACCAACAGCACCGTCCGTTGGCCAAACACTACGGCTCTTCCGACCCTCAACCAAACCACTGTTCGCTGGCCCAACACCACCGTCTTTCCCACTCTCAACCACACCTCCGTACGCTGGCCCAACTCAACCCTCCGCGCCTCAAATACCTCGACTCCTACTCCAACCTCGACCCCAGTACCCTACCCCACGACCTGCGGCGAGGAAAACCCCCCTTTTCATATTCAAATAGCCTCTACAGACAGCCCCTTCAACAACTGGTACATCTCCCTCGTAGGAAACAGCCTCCTCTTTGTGTCGAACCTCACGACAGCGGGGAACTTCTCAGTCGAGCCTTCGGGGCGTCTATGCGCAGTTGGGCATCTCGATTCAGACGGTATCCCCGCTGTAGCTGCAGTGGAGAGGCGGGTGGGAGTTGGTCCGGTTTGGTTGTTGAGGAAGAGGACGGTGGAAGGCCTGGAGGGCGATTACGGGGTTTTGAGCTGTCAGAGGGATGGAGAGGGGTTGGGATGTGAAGTGCAAGCGGGAGAAGGAGCAGGGGTGAGGAGTTGGGTTGGATGTGGGATTCAGTTAGGAGCAAAGAGGGAGGATGGGGAGGGGGACGGAGGCGGGCCAAGCTGTGAGGATGTTGGAGTCAAAGTGGTGGGGTGAGGCTTTTGCAGTTGAGGCTGTGCTGTGCACATGGAGATGGTGGAGTGATGTTTGGCGGTCGCGAAAACGGCAGGGGATGGGATGTGAGTCAGAAGGAGTCAGACCCACTTGCAGGAAACCCTACATCGAATCCACCCACAAACCAATATCAGCCGAGTTTTGCCTCGTCTTTTTCATCAAACCAAGTTTCCAAGCTTAGTAGCTCAGGGGAAGAGCGCCGGGCTCATAACCCGGAGGTCACTGGATCGAAACCAGTCTAAGCTAAACACCTTTGTTTTGTGCGACGAATCTGAGCACCCGAAATTTCCTTTTTCGACCCTTGCGGCCGGCCCGGACCGATGTGTCCCCGCAGGAGTCACAGTGCGAAGAAAT